AAAGAATTACAGGATATTGCCAGTTTGTCACATTCAGTTTATCCCCGCCTCCCTTCCCCCCCCCCTAAAAAAAACAAAGAAAAAAAATCAAGTCATTTAGACCCAAATTCTGCCCCATATACACAGTTGTAACTCCTCCAGGCCTCAATGTCACAGATGTGCGTCAGAGTTTGACCCCAGTTTTAATTATAGTGGCAACAATAGGAATATTTAGTAAGACCATTACAAGTTAAAGTTATGCTTCAAAATCAGATCTTGTAATTCTTTTCAAATATCTGACAAGAAAAACTTATGAACTATTACTCCCAGAACCAAGTGCATAAAACATTCAAGCCTGGTAGCTGTCCATTCTACCTTTAATACTGAGTGCAATCCATTTAAAACATCAAGTTATTTATCAATAATTTTTTGTGTGTGTTACTTTTTTAAATGCAGTCTTTCATCCCACTCACATAAGTAAAATGTATTGTGGTATTTCTCAGTCTAACTATAGTTAAATCAGCAAATGTCACTGTAAAGTTAAATTCTGCAGTACAGTAAACAATTTTTTTTTAAACACAACAGTGTCACTATTCACACTGGTCCAGCAACCACTTTCATGAGGTAGATTGTATTCCTATGTAACCACAGAACTCTTTTAACCTTATGCCAGGCTGTTTATAAAAAGAAAGGATTGGGTGGAGTTCACCCGCCAACAGAGCCTACCTATAACCACATAGGTAACCTATAAGCCTATCTTTTCCCTCCAGCCAGCAAGGAGCCAGAATCACTAAAAGAGCATTCCCACCACTCTCAAGCAACTGCCTCTGACTTGAAATACTATGAGTAGACTCAGTAAGAAGCTACGTTCAGTCTTATGTGGCCACTAGAACATAAATCTTTGTACAGCAGTAATGGAAAATAGAAATAAAAAGAAGAAAAAGACTTTCTGGAAGATTCTTCCGCAACTGTTCCAATCCAAACAACAACAGATAGCTATTAAGAGCAATATCGTTACAGTAGCACCTACATGCCCCAATAGAAATATCGTTACAGTAGCACCTACATGCCCTACTATGATGGACACCATACAATCATATAGTGAGAGGCTGTCCAGGACCTAAATGACTTTCCATGTAAATAGAAACATCATACTAAGAATAGAAGAAAAAAATATTTTACAGATGGGGATCTGAGGCACAGAGATTAAGTCAGTTGCCCAACATCCAGTATTGCCAATGTCAAGTGTTCAACTATCACAAGTCAGGTGTCAAAAAAACCATGAAGTTTTAAAAATAATAAATGTTTGGTTCTTTATCTGACTTCTGTTTCTGACCCTTTATGTTTCACCTTTTTCAGCTTTTATCTGCAGTGATGAGGGACAGAAACTTATCTTACTTTTAAATTAAAGGTGAAATTCTCAGGTAATCATTTGACTCCTGAAGCTGGGACCAAGAAAAAAAAACACCACCAAATATTGCAAGATTTGTAGTAAAATTTCAAGAACTGACAACACTGATTAGGTCACAGAGGGTGTGTGGCAGAAATGGAAATTGGAGTCAGGAGACCTAGGTTCAATGTCAGTGCATTAGCCATAAAGGCAAACCTTTTCCTAATTAAGAAGAATATATACCAAGTATGGGGGGATACCTATAAAAGCCTACACCTTTCAAGAAATGAAGATGAGGCACTGTCAAAGACAAATGTCAAAACACCAAGATTTATTTCATGATAGGAAAAATAAGCACAACTTCTGTTAAGGAAAATTCCTGAATCTCAATTTTCAGTGGAAGATGTTGGCTGTTCAGCACTTTTGCGAAACTGTGACACATTTAAGTGCTTAAACATAGTAACAGACTAACATTTAGGATGCTTATTTTTTAAAATACTGGCTTTGATATTTTGAGTATGTCAGCAAAATAGTGGATAAAGGAGAACCAGAAGACAATCTATCTGGACTTTCAAAAATCTTTGACAATCTCCCTTCCCCACGAGGCTACTGAAACTACTGTAATTAGTAATTCGTTTTTACCACCAAGAAAGAGATCTTTGTGTCACTATGTATAGTCCCCTGAAAACTTCCACTCAATGTGCATAGCAGTCAAAAAGGCTAACTGTATCTTAAGAACTATTAGGAAAGGGATAGAAAATAGGACAAAATATCATAATGCCACTATATAGATCCATTGTGCACCCAGACCCTGAATACCATATCCAGTTCTGGTTGCGCCATCTCAAAAAGGATATAGTGGAATTAGAAAAGGTTCAGAAAAGGGCAACAAAAATGATATATGGAATGCCTTCCACATGAGGAGAAACTAAAAAAAGATTAGGGCTCTTCAGTTTATGACTGAAAGAGGTATGATACAAATCTATAAAACTATGAATGATGTAGAAAAAGTGAATAAAGAAGTGGTATTTACCCTCTCTCAGATACCAGGGGTCACCTGGTGAAATTAATAGGCAGCAGGTTTAATACCAACAAAAAGGATGTACTTTTTCAAACAGTGCACACCTAAACTGTTGAACTCATTGTCATGGATATTATGATGACCAAAAGTATAATTGGGTTCAAAAAAGAACTGGTTAAGTTCATGGAGGATAGGTCCATCAACGGCTATTAGCCACAATAGTCAGGGACACAACCCCATGCTCGGGGCAACCCTAAACCTCTGACTGCCAGAAGCCAGGAGAGGAAGATGGGTGGATCACTTCATAATTGCCCTGTTCTGAACATTCCCCCAGAACCTCCAGTACAGGCTACTGTTGGAGATAGGACATTGGGCAAGATGCGCCATGGTCTGGCCCAGTACGGCAGCTTTTTAGTTCTTACATACAGGGTGAAAGATCACTTTCTGTCAGAATTAGGAATCAACTTTGAGATCGAAAAATTAGGAAAAAATGGTCCCAAATAATACAAAAGTCTGTTAATGTCAGCAGATCAAAATACAGCTGTAAAACACTAAATTATACCACAGTACACTGCCCCACAACTTGTTAAATGTTACGGTAACCCACTTCATGTGTATTGTGTGTCCCTCTCTGCACCTGATCCACAAAGGATGGAATGTTACATCCCCCAACTACAGAGCCAAGCTCTTTAGCTCAAGCTTTCAGCTATGGAGGTCCACGGTTTGATCCCTGGCCAAGATGGCAGCCATAATGTAAGTGAGGACTGAAAACATGACCTTGACAAACTCATTATCTGCAAATCGGGGGGGGGAGGGGGGCGGATGCATAACACACTGACCAGTGGGTTACATGTGCTATTCATAAATCAATATGTACAGGTATAATATTGCACATTAACTTAAATAGAAGATGACAGGGTAATAGTCAAAAATAATTTAGAAGTTAAAATGTAACAAAACGCACCTTTTTAAAAAACCTAGAAGAGTTCAGTAGTTATACCATGGATTACTCGCAGATACATTCCACATGCTTTGGCAATTAGAATTTTTTCAAAAGTATACTGATGAATAAAATGTCAGGAGTGGACCAGGAAGTAAAGGGCAAGTGTCCTATTCCACTTTTACATTTCTCCAAATGCCTTACAATTAAGCGCTGGCTAGTGAATAATCAACAGTCTTAACGCAATACACAATATTAGGATATAACTCTCTTTTCTGTCCATTTATTTTGCTTCCTGCTTTCTTATTGCTTCCCACTACTTTTCAATTTCTGAAGTTTCCACTTCATGCCCTACTACTGCTAATCTAAAGATTCCACTCCAAATATTGCCATCCACCCTATAGTACCTCTCTCTGCTCTAAGCCAAGTACTAGCAAAGTAGCAGAATGCAGGTAAGTATTTTAATTTGCTGTGCTGCTTGCACCTACGCTGGCCATCAGGTGAGGACGGAGAGCAACAAGAGAACCCCACAGTGAAGGATTTGTAATATTTGTTACTGAAGGGGTTGGTGGGGAACTTGTGCATAAAGGGATTACGAACAGCACAAAATAGCAAGTATTTATACATGAAATTAGACATTCATCTTCTACCTATGTGCCTTAAAATACCTGAGCTTTTCTCCTCTTTTCTCTTTTTTGGAAGGAGTACCTTCATAAGGATACTATCTGCAACTCAAAATACTACACTTCTACCCCGACAGAACGCGACCCGATATAACACGAATTCGGATATAACGCGGTAAAGCAGCGGGGAGCCCCGGGCCCTTTAAAGCGCCACCCGAGCCCCGCTGCTTTACCGTCTTATATCCGAACTCGTGTGGAGCCCCAGGCCCTTTAAATCACTGCCCGAGCCTGGCTGCCAGAGCCCCGGGGCTCCAGCAGCCGGGCTCAGGCAGTGATTTAAAGGGCCAGAGGCTCCGGCCGCTGCGGGGAGCCCCAGGCCCTTTAAATCCCCGCCCGAGCCCCGCTGCCGGAGCTCCGGAGGCGGTTTAAAGGGCCCGGGACTCACCATAGCAGCTGGAGCACCGAGCCCTTTAAATCACCGCCAGGGAAGCCGGTCCAGTCCGGCATGGCGTACCGGACCGAACCCGATATAACGCGGTCTCACCTATAAGGCGGTGAGATTTTTTGGCCCCCAAGGACCGCATTATATATGAAAGTATTTATAAGTCTTAAAAATATGCTTGAAACTTTGGGGCCATACTATAGAAACTACAGATGTCAAGTGAAGAGCAGTATGTGATTTTGCCTGTTCTCCAGGATAGGTCTTCACTTTAAGGGTATGTCTACACTATCTGCCGGATAGGCGGGCAGTGATCGATCCAGCTGGGATCGATTTATTGCGTCTAGTCTAGACACGGTAAATCGACCCCCGAGCGCTCTCCCGTCGACTCCTGTACTCCAGCGCCGCGAGAGGCGCAGGCAGAGTCGACGGGGGAGCGGCAGCAGTCAACTCATGCGGTGAAGACACCACGGTAAGTCGATCTAAGTACGTTGACTTCAGCTACATTATTCACATAGCTGAAGTTGCGTAACTTAGATTGATTCCTCTCCCCCCAGTGTAGACCAGGGCTTAATGTTCAAATCTGTGAACTGTATGGAGTATCTTACCATTGATCTTTCAGGATATCCAAACAAATGGCCCCAGTGACCGAGCTAATGTTAGGATGCCATATTTTGGTGATAAACCGCACCTAGAATATAAAATAAGATTTTTTTTTAATATAGCTATTAAATATTCTACAAAAGGCAAGACATTTAAAATACCTTTTAAAAAATTAGAACTATCACATACAGTCAGTTATTTGAATTAATCTTGGAAAGAAAAAGTACTAATTTAAGATAGCCCTGGGGCACAGTAGAACACAAGATACCCATGAAATAGCATATGCCACCAGGCTTCACTATAGTACATTTTTGTGGGGAATCTTTTGTCAGGAATTTTGCTCCATCCAGAGAGAACAGGATCCCAGGGCTAGGACACAAGGCCCTTTCCAATTTTACACTGAGGCCGTTCCCCAACTTCCCTTAGATACATAGAGCTCATTCTCTCCTCACCACCACAAAGCAACTCTGCTTTAAGGCCTTCTCTACACCATTCTCAGTGTGTCAGTGTACAAACTTTAGACAAGAGCATATTAGCTCTGTCTTCAGAGAACAGAAAATATGGAGAGAGTTTGAGAATGGAGCCATTTATTAACAGCTCATGCTGTAAATCGCTTTGAAGATATAAAGAGCCACGTAAGTGCTAAGTATTATTCTTTATTTACTATGGGAAATTAATGGCTGACAAAGTACATTCTGGACAGGATACACTGCTCTACAGCCAAAATGCTTCTGAAATAAATGTAGTCAAACTTTACTAATTCTGGGTCACTGAGAACGAAAATGATGCTTAACATTGTTGATTGACTCTAGTTTTCAAGATATGCTATTGGGTCAGTATATATGACCCTTGACTTAGGAATGGCGGAGGATAAGTGAGTTATAAAGGGAAGGGATCTCAATTTAAACCAGAAATGACTAAAATACATCTTTGACTGGATCTATGAATAAATCTATGACTGGGTTTGGACAGTACTTGCTTTTTAGGCAAAACAATGAATGATGCAATCTGAAGCTGGTATTGCGTCATACATGATATGAATTGCATCATGTTATTCCTAGAAGTCATGGATGATGCAATCATAACGAAGCTTACATCACTCTGCTGAACAAATTGCCCTATATCAGCTCTAGAAATCATACAGTGTCCTGCTCTCTTATTTGTCAGTGTTTGATTTTGCAAAGGGACACATTTCTGTTTAGCCAAAGTGAGCAGAGATGCCTCGTACTTGTGTGAACAGTGCAGATAACTTCTGCTATGTTTGTGGTGAAGTGACTTTTGCAGCACAAAAGCACAGTATAACCACTATGGTTAAGAAAGCCTATCACCTTTATTTTGGCTGCAAAATTGGAGATCAGGACAAGAGGTGGGCCCCACACATATGCTGCAACACTTGTGCAACAAATCTTCGCCAGTGGTTGAACAGGAAATCTATGTCTTTTGCAGTGCCAATGATTTGGAGTGAGCCAACAGATCATACCAGCAATTTTTACTTCTGCATGGTGCCTCCAGTTGGGAAAGGTGTGTCAAAGAAGAAAAAGTGGACTGTGCATTATCCAAACATTCCATCAGCTATACGCCCAGTACCCCACGGGGAAGGGCTGCCGGTTCCTGATGCACCAGAATCATTCTCACTTGAGTCAGACGAGGAAGAGGAAGAGGATGAAACTTCTGGTCCTGAACCATCAATGTCACAGGACCCACATTTTCTCCCATCCTCCTCCTCTGAACCACACCTCATAACACAAGGTGAACTGAATGACCTTGTCAGGGATTTGGAACTACCCAAGAGTAAGGCAGAGCTGTTGGGCTCCAGACTAAGGCAGTGGAATCTCCTGGCAGGTGATGTTAGGGTTTCCATGTTCCGTGACCGTCAAAAGGATCTTGTCCCATTCTTCTTCACGGAAGGTGATCTTGTAGCCTGCAACAACATCGATGGTGTGATGGCAGCCCTCAACATCGTTCACGATCCAGATGAGTGGAGACTGTTCATTGATTCATCGAAGACGAGTCTTAAAGCTGTTTTACTGCATAATGGCAATGTTTTGGCATCAATTCCAGTTGGTCATGCAGTCCATATGAAGGAAACCTATGACAACATGAAACAACTTTTGAGGTGCATAAACTATGACCAACATCAGTGGCAGCTTTGTGGCGATTTAAAGGTTGTTGCTCTCTTGCTTGGTCTGCAGACTGGATACACAAAGTACTGCTGTTTTCTCTGCGAATGGGATAGTCGTGCAAGAGATTCCCACTACATCAAGAAAGATTGGCCACTCCGACAGTCATTGGAGCCTGGGAGGAAAAGTGTTCAGTATCCACCACTTGTTGAATCAAGGAAGATTTTGTTACCACCCTTACACATCAAGCTGGGTCTGATGAAGGACTTTGTCAAGGCCATTGACAAAACACAAGCAGCTTTCAAGTACCTCCGTGGAAAATTTCCAAGGTTAAGTGAAGCTAAGATAAAGGAAGGTGTCTTTGTTGGTCCTCAGATTCGTGAACTTCTTCGAGATGATGCATTTGACCATGCACTGCGTGGCAAGGAAAAGACGGCATGGAAAGCCTTCCAGTTAGTGGCAATACATTTTCTCGGAAACAACAAGGCAGACAACTACAGGTTGTTGGTGGAAAACCTCCTCAAGGCATACAAAAGCCTTGGTTGCAACATGTCACTAAAGATACATTTTTTGCACTCTCATCTAGATTTTTTTCCACCGAACTGCGGAGCAGTGAGCGACGAGCACGGCGAGCGATTTCACCAGGACATTGCAACAATGGAGAAACGCTATCAGGGCAAATGGAGCCCATCAATGCTTGCAGACTATTGCTGGACAGGGACAAGAGATGCTCCATTTAATGAATACAAGAGACAAGCCAAGAAGCGCCGAGTAGACACTGAATAGGACTAAACTATGTACAGAATAGTTTTTTGCCTTTTGTTTCATAATAAATTTTATTTATATAACCCTTTTGCTGATTTTTAAAGTGTTACATAAACAGGACAGGTGAAATATTATCATGTAAAGCAACCATAAACACATGAAAAGACCTAGGTTTACAATTTATGATTAAAACTCTACTATCTACACAATATACATAGACATAAAATAAAAACTTAAATATCTTAGAAACAGTAGCCAATCAGTTGTTTTAATTGTCATATTTGAATTCAGCACATCAAAATACATAATAAATAGCACATTTTATCTCTGAAGCAGACAACTTCTCAAAAATTGTAGACCAGTGATATCGAAGCTTCAGAGGAGAGAGAGTTGTGAACACTAGCATAAAGCACTATGCACTAGCAACTGTAGACTATACACAGAGCCCCACTCAGATCAGCCTGCCTTCAAACTCTGCAGAAAAGGACTATGAGCACATATTTAATAAGGAACTGCAAAACCATATTCCTAGGATTAACAATAAGGCTGAGCACCTGTGCACCGAGACAGCCAAGCAGCTCTTCTACAAATGTTGGAAACAGAGGCTACCAAGCCCCAGAGCAGCAGTTACTAAGCTGTGGTCAACAAATTCCTCGGGGTGCTGCGTCCACTCCTTGTTTCAACTCCAGCCAAAACACATGTGGAAGGAAGGAGCCACCAACAGTGGAAGTTTCCATTTTATAAAAAGACCCTTCCTCCTCCATCCATTCTCACTCCAGACCCAAAAAAAGCAATCCACAGTACCAGAGCTAGAAGACACCCGCCCAGGAAAGCCATCAAACCCTCCATATATGTGCCAGAGTGAAGCGATCCAAGATCCAGTTCAAAGAGGTGCTTTAGGGACTGAGAGAGGGAGCCAAACAAGGAGCTAGGTTTGGGGAGGGGGCAGGTTTTAAGGAATCAGACGGCTGGGTCAGGAGCCACTGATTCCAGGGACCTGGCTAGAAGGCAGGAGTACAGAGTTGGGAGAAGCATGAGACCTGCGGAAAGCACCAAGAAGCAGGGTTTTTAAGGTTTGTAAAGGTAGGGACGGAGGAAGAAATCAGGGCCTAGACAGTAGGTCTGGGCAGGAGGGATCCAAGAAATTTAAATGGAGACAATGAATTGTGTGTATGTAAAGGGAGAGGAGACAGAATTGGGGAGTACAATAAAATTTGCATGGAAGAGAACGAATTGTATGTGGCCTCTCTCTCTCTCTCTCTCTCACACACACACACACACACACAATATTCCCCATGTCATACAAGTAATTCTCCCCATGCAAGGAATGAGTGTAATTTCCAGACAGATGTCAGGCAATCACCAATTGGAGTGTGATTTGAAAGGGAGGTGGCTCCACAATATGATAAGTCCACTGAGAAGTGGTCACACTATTACAGTCTGTCCTACAAGGATGAACCTTGAGACATTTCTTCTCAAGAATGGAAAAACTTTAGAGTTCTACCACGACAACCTTCCAGCAAGATGAATATAAGATAGTGCCCTGTGCCTTTAAGGGCCGGAGGCTTAGGGTGAGCCAGCCCTGGTCAATTATCAAACCCAGCTGGGAAGGAGTAAATGATTATAAAAGCTAGCAAGTGGCTGCAGATACAGACAATCATCTTGCAGCAGTCCCTGAGGAACAAAGTCTCTAGGTGGTAAGCCATGTGCATCACAGCTGGGTAGAAAGTTTTGTTTTCCCTTTTGAGTTTGTGGTCATTTGGACTACTATTAAAGACTAATTTGGTGTGGGTGGTGAAGAAGCTAATGTTTCAGAAGGTGGAGAATGTGGACATGATGATCAGCCCTAATACAAGGGGAGAGTGTAGTCAGTTGCAGATTTAAACGGGGAAACTGAGCCATGGTGCCACACAGCTTCCCCAGGCCACGAGGGGGTGCAGGGACAGCCCACACTGCTACAGTTCAATGGCAACAACATGTTGAGAAGACCAGACTCAAAGCCCCAGCAACATGTAAGAGGAAAAGAGCTACCATTGCTATAAGGTATTGTCTAAGGGCCCTGTTTGAGGGTTTTGAATCCGCTTCCAGCTACTTGGGTGTCCAATAAATTTGAAGCCCACATACCCTCTGGCAGCTGGAAGACAGGAGTGCACTCTCAATGTGTTGATATTTGTACTTCCATCCTTCACCCCAGAATCTCTTAACTATTGTCAGGATGGGTTCTGTTATTCTTTCCTTTTTTTGGGAGGTTTTCCTCCCTTGCAAACAGCTCCAAACCTAAGTCTGATCATCATCATTTTCCAAAATGGCAACAGAATGAAAGTGAACTGATTCCTGTTCATTCCATGGTAATAGCTGTAGTAAGACTGCCCTGCATGTGATGTTCACTCAAGTCACAGCAAAACCAAAACAGCCATCTATAGTTTAGTTATTACTATAGACCTGGAATGTTCAAGCCAAATATAACATACGGAGTTCAAGGAACGTGTTACTTCTTTACTAGAAGCATATAATATGGGCCTATTATAGCTTTTCTTAAAAAGACGATTCAACCCTTCATTTTGAATATGAACAATCCTCTCCAAATCAAATAAGAGCAATCTTCAAGCTGGTTTATCAGAGATTCTTGACAGGAAGTGATTAAGGAGCTGCATGTTTGCGCCACTTCTGCCTCTATCCAGAAAGCATTAGAAAATAGAAAACAAGGACTCTGAAAAAAATAAAGAAATACTGAAGAGGAAGTCTACTATACAGAAATACAACAGATGACATGACATTAAGAAAGACATCCACAAAAATGTTTACAGTACCTTAGGAGGATTGAAGGGATATGTTTCTGGAATTTTTATCTCTAGTTGATATCTCCCTCCTGCAAAAACCAAAACACAAACGAAAGATTATACTGATTTCAAGAGTGTTAACGTACTATGAACTCAAAAGAAAGTGAAACAAATGTGATTCTAAATTTGCCCTCACATGGATGCTGTCAAGTAATATAATCATATCCAAAAGAAGCTAATCTAGTGAGAAATATCTTCCAACTTTTAATACACATACACACACTTATGCATATACATAAATTCAGCTTATTAATGTCATATTCCCACATTTTATACAAACCTAATACCTATTTCCAAGATATTCAATTTGTTATTAATCTTCAATTTCCATTTTTTCCTTGTTGGAACACCTCTGTTTCATATTAGTCAAACAGACCTTCAATTTAAAAAATCAGAATACCTAAGAAAGCAGATACTAAAATAAAAATAAATTGTATCTGATGTAATGATGCCCAGTATTAATATGAAACACACACTAAAGAATTATCCATTTCACTCTGACACTTAACACCCTCAGTTCTCTCTCTTCAAAATACTAAATCAAAATTAGTTCAATTTAAGTTTAAATTATTTAGAGCTTGAGGATGTTCCACTGTGTAACTTAAGAAAGGAGTCCACATAGCTTTCAAGTTCTTCAGTATGCTTTGAAAAGAATAACTTCCAACACTTCAATTCACCAGGTGCTATATACTACTTAACCATTTACTATGGCTCCGATTCTGCAAATACTCATGCATGAGTAATCCCATGAACTCAACGGGGCTACTAACGTGTTTGCATGATTGGGACACATAATAAGGGGAGTCAAAGGCCATGTCTACACTACAAGTAAACAAGTTACATTGACATACAGCAGCCACAGTTAGAATATCGCTTGTGCGCTTGCAGACTTATCACCTTGCATCGATGCAGCATGTGCTTACCAGGAATGCTTGTGTCAATGCAGTGCAGTGCACCATGGGTAGGTATCCCAGTGTGCAACCTGCACAATTCAGCATAATGTCTTTTGGGTAGTTGTGGCAATGCATGGTGGGGCAAGAACAAATATCGCAGTGGTGACTTGGAACAATGGCTCAACTTCCCATAAGTCAATGTTCTCCGTCCCATAATATCTCTGTGCCGTAATTTTTGTGCCTAATTTCAAATTTCCACGAACTGATGCGGGACTTGTCCCTGTCTGCCATCTCTGACAGCAGCATATGAGCCTACACAGCTCTGCACTGTTATCACGAGCATGGCAACCACAGGATGCACGATCCTCCAGTATTTGTGGAGCCGCAAGAAGAACCTATGGAGAACATGACGATTTCCAGGCGGTCAGTTTGCTGTGGGACATAGCGAGAACCAATTCAAGATTGCTGGTGGCATTCAAGAAGCAGCTGCAGATGGTGGAGTGCCCCTTCTGGTCTCCAAGAAATGAATAATGACTTGGGGGTCACATCGTAATGCAGGCTGTGGATGATGAGCAGCGGCTGGATCTGTGTGCCAAGCTTGCCCCAGACATCAAGCGCAGGGACACCAAATAGAGCTGCACTGACAGTGAAGAAGCGAGTGGCGATCACACTTTGGAAACCTGCCATACCAGATTGCTTCCATCAATGGGAAGTCATTCTGGAGTTGGAAAAGCCACAGTGGAGACTGTTGTCATGGAAATGTGCAGGGCCATTAAATGTCTCCTGCTACACAGGACTGTGACTGTTGGCAATGTGCAGGATGTAGTGTATGGATTTGCAGCTCTGGGGTTCCCAAACTGCAGTGGAGCAATAGGCAGCATGGACAAGTGCAGAGTGGGATTCTGAGGATGGAAAAATCCCATGCACTGCTACAGACTAGGGACCGAATGGCTAGGCAGCAGTTCTGCAGAGAAGGACCTAGGAGTTACAGTGCACGAGAAGCTGGATATAAGTCAACAGTGCGCCCTTGTTGCCAAGAAGGCTAATGGCATTTTGGGCTGTATAAGTAGGGGCATTGCCAGCAGATCGAGGGACGTGATCATTCCCCTCTATTTGACATTGGTGAGGCCTCATTTGGAGTACTGTGTCCAGTTTTGGGCCCCACACTACAAGAAGGATGTGGAAAAATTGGAAAGAGTCCATCGGAGGGCAACAAAAATGATTAGGGGGCTGGAGCACGTCTTATGAGGAGAGGCTGAGGGAACTGGGATTGTTTAGCCTGCAGAAGAGAAGAATGAGGGGGGATTTGATAGCTGCTTTCAACTACCTGAAAGGGGGCTCCAAAGAGGATGGATCTAGACTGTTACCAGTGGTACCAGATGACAGAGCAAGAAGTAATGGTCTCAAGTTGCAGTGGGGGAGGTTTAGGTTGGATATTAGGAAAAACTTTTTCACTAGGAGGGTGGTGAAGCACTGGAATGGGTTACCTAGGGAGGTGGTGGAATCTCCTTCCTTAGGTGTTTTTAAGGTCAGGCTTGACAAAGCCGTGGCTGGGATGATTTAGTTGGGGATTGGTCCTACTTTGAGCAGGGGGTTGGACTAGATGACCTCCTGAGTTCCCTTCCAACCATGATATTCTATGATTCTATGAATATTTCCACAGCTGGTTAAGAGTTGCACAGTCTGTTCTCCCCACAGGCCCAGGAGATCCAATTTCTCCTGTCTACTCCAGGCAGGAGCGCATTTGCATCGTGTAGCCACATAGCTGGACATTTGCACGCAACAATGGATTGCTGTTATGTGTGGTAGATCAGCTGGACATTCAGGAAAAGGAATTTCAAAAATTTGCAGACGTTTTAAAGGAGGGGGCTACCAGTCTACGTGACATCTGAGCAGTGGCGCTCACAATTATGATTAAAGGTCAGTGTCTGTTATTGCGAAACAGCTGCTGAAAAACTGTTACGGCTGACACTTGCACTACATTGACCTCCATACGTCGACCATGGTTGTACGCTACTCGGGGAGGTGGTGTTAGTATGTTGGCATAATGGGGCACTTATATCGGTGAGAGACACATTTCAGTATAGACACATGCATAACTAGGTCAACGCAAGGCAGCTTATGTCGACCTAACTTCGTAGTGTAGACCAGGCCTTAGACATCCAAGCTTTTGCTATAATATGGTACCCTGCTAGAAACATTTCTACAAGCATTCACTATTTCAGTATTATAGTACCTATTCCTAATACCACCTCCTTTGGGGGAGTTAAGCATTTCTTATTCCGAAGATATTGTTAGTAACATTTATAATCCTCTATAATATTTCTGTATTTTCAGACAATACCAATTTATCTACATTCTCTATTTGCAATTTCTCCAGCACTGCTTGCCTGGAAGTAATTTCATGGACCACAGCACTGCAAGAGATTAATAGAATCTATATAACAATTTATATTGAGTTTCAATCAAGTTGCAGGCCACAGCACTGTTCCTTGTATACATTATTCTCTCATTCCATTCTTGTTCTTCTATTTGGAAGTCAAAAGCTTTTCCTCCCATTTATCCTTACCAGTTTACTTTGTAAGATTTTATATATTCTAGCTATAATTCCTTCCCAATGAGGGTTCAGGAGTAGTCTATATGGCCCTGATCCTGCAAATTATCTGCACAAGCAGAGTTGCTTCTATTCTACAGGGGTCTGCTTGGACGGAGTAAACTGCAGGATCAGAGTCTAAATCAGTTATTCTATGCACTGTCTTTTTTCCTGTGGGAAAACTACATTACTAATAAGGAGAAATTACAGAGTCCATCTGCCTGTTTCTTACATTATTAAGGGTAATAAATTCTCCATTCTCAAAGAAGTTACTGTCAAATTTTTTGGCACTTTCTGCACAGTGCCTTTCCAACTATAGAAACGCTCTGAAGCAAACATATACATTCACTAACTGGAGTTACTTTATATGTAATAGAAAAATTGGAATAAAAGCCCATATTTCTAGTATTGTCATCATTAAGGAATTTACGTATATCTTTTTTACTCACACCTGCAGAAGAGGACTAAGATTTCAACTGAATTTTTTTTCACCCATCTGAATTCAATTAAAAAGAAAAACCTATATTTAAGTCACCAGCTATAATTCAAACAAAAATGGAAGACAACATATTTGGGATTTTAGGCATAACTCAGCAATGCCTTCCTCCTACAGAACAGAGATGGTACCACACTATTCCTAACACTTTACTGGCATAATTAGTACACTTATTTTTAAAAACTAATACAGAAAGTGAGACAAATGTTGAAAATGGGAAAGGGTGTGAAATATGTAAACACTGGGGAAGGGCTTACAAACTGGCAGACAAAAATTAATTGATTGTTACAAACTAAAGAGCAAAAGTAACGAGATGGCAAATTAGGCTATGACAAGGAAACAAAGTATTTAAAAACTGAAAACAGGAATAAGAAAGTGTGCATGGTCTGTCTTGACTGTTAACTCTTTGGAGAAAGGACAAAGGTTTTTTATGTTTTTGAAAAGCACCTAGCACAACGGTGCTGGAGGGAAGTTTGTCTGAAACACCCCAATCTGTTAGTGGGTGTAGATCTTGCTGGTAAAGATTAAGGGTTCTGCTGAGTCATTATCCCACACGAATATAAGGGAGGTAGGAATGGCTCTTTGGAAAGAGGATCTAAGGAATAGGCTTAGCAGTCAAACCTGGAGAGGTTTAAAATGAACTTAAGGCCTATTTTTAAAAAAAAAAACTTCAGAAACAGGTGAGTTTGAACTCAAAATAGTATGTACACTATGTTTGTAAGGTAGACTGGAAAAGGCAACAGGTGACACACTATATAAAGAGCAATAAGATGAAGTACAAACCAAAGCCACATTGGCTAAAATACTAAAATAAGTCAGGGGGGAGAGCGGAAATGCTTGCCAAATTACTCTTGCGTCTCTGTACCTGTTGTTTCTTTATGTTGACCACAGGCTGTGAGGCAAAGTTGGCCAACGATTCCAGCACAGTAAGTTTGATTTGCGTCTCAAAACATGAACTCAAAATACAAATGAAGGGAGTAGGCAGACACAGGCAAGACCAAAAAAAAATATAGGGGCTGATTTTCCATCAAAGCAATCTGAGAAGGC